TTTGGCTGTGAGCTAACATCTGTGCCAGTCTTCCTCTATTTTGTCTGTGGGATTCCCCCACAGCATGGCTTGATGAGCCAGTGTGTAATGTCTGCACCTGAGAACCGAACCTGTGAACCCTGGGCTGCCGAAGTAGAGCACACGAACTTAACCACTACGCCACTGGGCCGGCCCCAGATGTGACTTTAATTGAAAATTATTATGTAATTTCTGAGAGACTGGAGGAAGAAAAGCATTGCAGACCTATTCTCATCTATCACAATAGAAATCTGTGTAACAGCAGTGAACATCCATGCTCCTATCTCACGGCATTTCCTCCTCTCATGTACCCAAGCCATCTCCCCATGTCTCCTGCATCATCAGATTTTGCTTTGCAGCAAGGTCTTTCCCGTCAACAAACTAGTATGCCCTTAGTTCTTGTTTCTTAACACACACACACACACACACACACACACACAGTTATTGATCCTAGTTGCCCTGCCACTGCAATTCCATTTCTTTACTTCCCTTTACATCAAAACTCAAGTTTTCTGTACTCCATGTCACCAGTTCCTCTCCCTCTTTTCTGTCCTACCATCCACTCCATTCAGAGTTTCGCAGCTACTGTTGTGCTTAATTTGCTCTTGTCAAGGCCACAGTGACCTTTACATTGCTATATCCAGTGGTCAATTATCATCTTATCTTCCACCATCTTTTCATACAATTAATTGCTCCTTGATGTATTTTCTTCACTTGGCTTTTAGGGTACCACTTTTTGAATTTTCTTTCTATGTCATTGGTAGCTGCCTCTCAGTCTTCTTTGCTGGTTCTTCCTCTTCTCTTGATCTCTTAATGTTAGAATGCCCCCATATCTCAGTCTTAAGTACTCTGCTCTTCTCTGTCTGCCCTCAGTGCCTGGCTTATCACATCAGATATCAAGGCTTTAAATACCATGTAAAAGTTGATGATTCTCAAATTCATATATCCTAGCCCAGACTTCTTCCATGAACTCCAGATTTGTATATCCAACTGGCTACTTGACATTTTCATTTATTGTCTTATCTCAAGCTTAACATATCCAAAATTGAACTACTGACCTTCCCCTGAAAATCTGCTCTACCCAGAACCTTTCCCAACTGAGTTGATAGCAGCTCCATATTTCTAGTTGGGAGTTGCTTAGGCCAAAAACCTTGGAGTCATCCTCGACTCTGGCCCTGCTGTCTTACACCTCACATCCAATCTTTTGGGAAATCTTGATGTAATTAGAAAAAATCCACAAACCTGCCACTTCTCCCCACCTCCAGTGCTGCCTTCTTGTCTGGATTACTGTTGTGGCCTCCATACCTCTATCCTTGACCCTCTACAGTCTAAACAAAGCAGTTAGGATGATCCTTTTAAAATGGAAGTTCAGTCATGGTACCTAGTAGCTTCCCATTTGGACAGATTTCTTAATTTCTGTGTGCCTCAGTTGCTTTATCTGCGAAGAGAATAATACCTTCCTCAAGGGATTGTGGAATTCAATGAAGTAATAGCGCGTGAAGCACTTATTTAACACTAACCTGGTGCAGAGAAAATAGTAAAGTTTAGCTGCTGTTCTTACTACTTTTATTTCCAATGTATTCTCCAAATCAGAAGCCTACTTTTTGTCTCCTCATCATTCCTTCAGTGCTTGAGGTGGGAGGGTTCTGTAGGAATATTTGGATTCTGAGTACCTGGCTCGTTGCCGTCAAGCAAAATCTTCAATCTGTTAGTACTAGAGAATAGTATGTCCAGAAACGCTGTTCATTTAACCAAGGGAAATTCCATTCCTAACATTGCTGTTTTCATAAGCGAAGCAGTATTGAGTTTCCTGCACCACATAGGAATTGCTCTGTCAGTAGAAAGTCGTCTTTTCATCAGTACCCTAGTTTCTAACTTTTGAAGCATTTTTTCCCTAAAGGATAATGAAAGGAAACAGCTTCCTTATTTTTTGATTGAGCCTTTTATCTCCTGTCTTTTCCTGACTCCTTTTTGGTTTTTTATTATTTTTGTGACATCACACATTTAGGGTTTTTTTTCCCCCCCTTCATATAACCCTTCCCTCTCTGGACCTGTTGATGGCGTGGAGGAAACTTAAAATATTTAATGTTCCCACTCATATTTTCTATCATCTTACTGGGTTTTACAACAGACCAAAAAGAGAATGGAAGATTTAACTGTAAGATTTGCTAATGGTAATAAAATGCAAAAAGTGTGGGATAATGGAGAGTGCTGGCCTGGGACCTTCTGAGCCTCGCTCTGCCGCTAACTAGCTGTATGACCCCCTGGGCTTGCGCTGACCTTCTGCTTGACTTCTAGCAGAAGAGGCTAGCTGAGAGGAGATTCCGTTTCTGGGAGTTGCAGAGGATGTGAGGAATGTAAGAAAAGTTGCTTGGGGCCCTAACCCACTAACAGTGGAAGAAGGACTGGGGCAAACCAAACTTGTTCTGATTCAATACAGCCGCCAGGGCACAGGACCCTAGGCCTGAGCAGCTTATGCCCTAGGGGCTTGCAGGGTGGGGGTTGTGACTCAGTTCTCTGAATAGAGGAAGAAGGAAAGATACCTGAAAATCTGGTAAAAAACAAAAACCAAAAAACCCTCCTAGTGGCTTGAGCCCCAGCACTGATGGGTGTCTGCTTGCCCCGCAGATAGTAGACGGGCACGATAGAAGTCAGTGTTAACATGATACACAGCTTCTGGGACTCAGATACTTCCTGTATCAGAAAGCTAGGATAGTAACACAATGTTACATATCAGTTATATCTCAATAAAACTGGGGGCAGTGGGGGCAGGGAAGAAAGCTGGAACAATCTCTGGCTTGTGGTGTTGGGGTACAGCAAACATGCAGATTCTTTAGGGAGCAGCTAGGCCATCCCCACCCCCTCTACCCCCACTACAGTGACCTTGGGACCATCTGCAGGTATGAAAGAGATGGTGGTAGCTTTTGAGACACTCCTAGCTGCTGCATTGTTACCCAGAACCCACCTCAGCCTCCAGTGTGATGCATCTCTCAAGGAAAGCTTTATCCATAAGCCTGGTATGTCTGCTTTAATTTAGCCTTCCCAGGACAGTAGCAGAGACCCCAAAGAATAGACCAGGCTTTAGAAATTGTGGAGAAAGAGACAGGAAGAAAATACGTTCATTCTCTGAATCTCAGAAGGAATGCTGCTGCTTTTGCAAGTGGATCAGTCGTCTTATAACCAAGTAAAAATCCTTTAGGTTTGTAGGCTATGGGATTCACCGTTTATGAGGTTTCTTTGTGCTCTAAAGAGCTATCCAGTGGCACTCCTCCCAATAACGACCCGTAGTTTCTTAGCCTAGCTCCTCGAGTCCAGCAGTTATCAGACTTTTCCTAATGGAAACCTTCACTCTTGATTGACATGAAAGTTCCCTTTTTTTTTTCCTTTGCTGTTGCAGTCTTGAAACAAACATCTTTGTACTCAAAGTGTGTATGTGTTAGCAGTGAACTTTTAGTATTAATCTGTTGGCTTAATTTGTTCAAATTTGTTATTGAAGTTTAACATACATACAGAAAAGTACACAAATCATAGCTCAATAAATAATCATAAAATTAACTCACTTTCATAATCACTACCCATATCAAGACAGAAAATTACAAGCACTCTGGAAACCTCCCTCAGCCTCCCTCCCCGTGGCTCCCACATCCCTGCTCCCCAGAGTAAGCAGGATCCTGAATTCGAACATCATTGAGTTGTTTTGCCTATTTATGAGCTTTAAAATTTTTAAATGAAGACGTAATATATTATTTTCAGGGGTGTAGCTTTTTTCCCCTCATCCTCACGTGTTGGGATTTATCTGTGTTGTTGGTATGGTAGTAGTTCATTGTTTTACTTCTATATAGTATACCATTATATACATAAACAACATTTATTTATTTGTTCTAATTGCACTACTTTGCATTGCCACCTTTGTTATAAACCAAGGATCTGTATACAAGGGGCTGTTTCTGAACTCTTTATTCTGTTTCATTAATATATTTGTCTGTCGTTATGCCAAAACCTTGCTGCTTGCTGTCTTAATTATAGCTCTATTTTATATAGTATAATTAAAGCTGTGTAATAAGAAGTTGTACTATCTGATAGAATAAGTCCTCCCACTTTGTTCTTTCTAAGATTACCTTGATTATTCTTGGTCCTATGCATTTCCATGTAACTTTTACAGTCAGCTTGAAACTGCCCCCCAGCCAAAAAAAAAGCATGCTAGAATTTTGATTGGAAATCCTTTGAGGAGAATGGACATGTTTGTTATATGGAATCTTCCAATCCTTGAAAATGGTATGTCTCTCAGTTTATTTGGTCTTTAATTTCTCTCAATAATGTTTTATAGTTTTCTGTGTAAATATCTTACACATCTTTTATTAGATTTATTCTTAGGTATCTGGTGGGTTTTTTTAATATGTTATTATAAATGGTATTTTTAAATTATGTCCTAATTATTGCTGATATTAGAATCAATTTATATATTAAAACATGTTTAATTTTAAGATTTTACAAGGTTAAAAGTATATATCATTTTAAGAATCATTTAATATTAAAATTATTATGGGAATATTGGATACATAAAGGAAAGGAGAGTTGGAGGTTTCCTGGAGAAATCAGGAGGATTCCTGATTGTGTGAGTTGTATGGATTCTTTGCTGCTTACTGGAGAGGCCTGGCCTGGGCCTCACTTTCTCTCTCAGCTGAAGTGATCGGCACTTGGAGTGTTGGGATGCATTTTTTTCTTCTTCAGATACTCTGAGCCCTCTCCCAGCCAGCCTCCACTTGGGAGCACAGACAAATGTGGAACAGATGGGATCGGGGTGAATGGCGGTGTCACTCCGTCCTTGCTGTGGCTGCTCTTGAACTGACAGGCTTCCCTCCCATTCTAAAACTCGCCAAGAATGAAGGAGTAAACCCATCCACCATCAAGCGCTGCAGGCGTCCTAAAGTGCTATAACACTGCCTGTTTCCTTAAACTCATACGTGACTTTGTTTTTCCAGGTCTATAAAGGAGAATTTCAGCTACCTGAATTTCTTAAAGAAAAGCCTCAGGTACTGTATCTGCTTCCTCCTCTTGATGTATACAGCAGATGGGCTCTAGCATTGAAGTGATCTTTTTAAAGGGATAATGATATGTGCTGATGGCAGAAAAATTAGCCTTTGGTGATTGTTGGTTTTAACAATAATTTAGCATAGTCTTCATTTCAGAGAGTTCAGTACCTTCCAAAACTAGGGAATACTTTATGAATAACTAAAATCCAGTTGCTTGAGGTCACTCACAAGGCACACAGTATCTCACATGTGAAGAGCCTGCCTTGGGAAATCTGCTCCAGCCTTCTTATATCTAGCTTGAAAAAAAGTGTACAGCCATACTTTGTTCTTATTATATATATGTCCATGGCCTTTTGACTTTTCTCATTTGGAGCCTAGAAGACTTGTCAATACATTATACTTGGCCATTGGCCCTCCACTGCAAAGTCCTCCAAGTTGGGAAAGGAGAGTTTGAAGCTTATAACTTTTACTTTTTTAAAAATTGATTAAAACAGATCCAGAGTTATCCTTGTAATGTCACATTCTCATTTACTTGGATTCCAGTATTGTTTCTTGAGTTGAAAAGAAACAGTAGTGTTATGGCTGACATGCCTAGAGTAGTCCAAAGTGTCCTGCATCTTAGCATCATCTTCCATTCCTATATAGTAGCAGGGAAGAAATTGATAGCTACTCCTTGAGCCCAGCAGTGGACTTCTTTTTCTAGCGTAGTGATAATGCATGTTGCCTCCAGGCTGCTGCTATCAGCAATTAGTTCGTTAATAGGAAATGAAGGCCACACTGAACTCAGTTTCTAAAAACATTCCAGATATGGGTTGGTGAGGGAAACATACCAACTCACAGACTCTGTGTGAAGTCATGTTGCCTGAAGCAAGCCTGGAGTAAATGGGCTGGGCTCTCGTAAGAGAAGCTGTGTCTCACACCAGTGTTTAAGGCTCTGTCTTCCCAGATTCTTGTCTGTTAACAATCATCCATCAATAATTGATACATATTACTTGAGAATTTCAAACTACTTTCAAGGCGTATTCTTATTAGCATATCTTTGATTTTAATCAATCCGTCTATTCATTCATTTCATTTATTGAACAAATGTTTACTGAATTTCTGTTATGGGTGAGAAATTGGAAAAAGTCCTCAGTAGTCAAAGGGAAAAAAAAATCTTCTCAAGGAGCTCCTAATCTATTCAAAAGACTGATAAACTTTTACAGACAAGGGAGTGGAAGGCCCTGAGCCTGGGCTGGGCGTGATGTCCCAGAAGCCTGGATGGATTTGTGAACAGACTGTCACTCACTTACGGCCTATGGCAATTGGAGCCAGAGAATAAAATTCAAGAGTATTGAAGGAATGTCAAATCGAAAGGCTGTTTTGCATATTAAGTCTGAAGGAGTCAAGAAAGGGAATTTGAGACTAAAACTAAAGGGACACTCAAAGCACACACAAGAATCATTTCCAGGTGGGTTATAGACCTAAAGGTGAAAGGCAAAATAATAGTTTTTAGAAGACAATAGAGGAGAATATGTTCATCACCTTAAGAGGGGAGAATTTCTTAAACAAGTTGTAAAAAACACTAATTATTAATTTTAAAATGGATAAGTTGGACTACATTAAAATTTAGAGTGTTTACTTATTAGAAAGCATCTTAGAGTAAAAAAATAAGCCTTGAGTTGGAGAAACTATTTGAAACAAAGGACTCATCTGTAGAATGTAGAGAATTCCTACAAATCAATAAGAAAAAGATGATAAAAAATTAGGCGAAAGGCTTAGCAGATACTTCAAGCCCCTTATTCTGGTTAGTTTCATTTAATGCATCAGACACATATACTTAGAAAAGAGCCTATAAAAGACTTTGGTTTAACTTCAAATGAATGAGAAAACAAGCCCACAGAACCTCAGGTTGGATATTTAGCTAGAATGGCTCACAGAACTCAGGAAAGCACTGTACATACGATTACAGTTTTATTGTAAAGGATACAAATCGGGACCAGCCAAATGAAGAGAACACAGGACAAGGTCTGGAGGGTCTCAGACAGAGAGCCTTGGTGCCATCTCTCCATGGAATCAGGGTGTCTCCCTCCTGGCACATCAGTCTTCTCCAGCTAGGAGGCTCCACTGAACTTCTGCATCCAGAGTTTTTGTTGGGGTCTAATTACAAGGGCATGATTGATTGAATCATGGCCATGTGATTGAATTCAATCCCCAGTCAACTTCCCCTACCCAGAGGTTGGGCTGACTCAAAGCCCCACCCCTCTAATCACACAGTTGTCTTTTGGTGACCAGCCCCTATCTCAAGTCATCTCATCTCTTAGCATAAACTCAGATGTGATCCAAGGAGCTCATGAATACGAAAGACCCTCCTATTACCCCAGAAATTCCAAGGATTTAGAGTCTCCCTACCAGGAACCAGGGACAAAGACCAGTCAAATTCTTTATTATGCAAAAGTAGCACACTGAGTTCATTACAAAGTCTGTGATCAGAGCCTGAAAGTTACACCTGATATTTCGAGGGGGGCAGTCACTTTTCATGCTGACTTCAAGGACTTTAAAACATCTTTTGCTTCCTTCAGCAGACTGAGCAAGTGGAGTAGCAGAGCCAGGAGCCTCTTTCTTACATGAGGTGAGAGTTGGGGGACATTGCTGGGTCTTTTGGGTTTCCCTGCTCAGACTCTCACTGGAGGCAGCATAGCCGGAGTGGAGCGCACAGCTCTGGAGTTAGTCCACCTGGGTTGCAATCTTGGCTCTGTGTGGCATGGAGCAAACTACTTAACTTCTCTGTGTCTTAGCTTCCTCATCAGTAAAATGAGTATAATAACTAAGAGAGTGGTAGTAAGAATTAACCATAATAGTATCTGCAAAAATCATGGCACATGATTGGTTGTTATTATTGTATTGGTTGTTATTTTCAATATGAAGAGGGGTTTAAAATAATGAAATATTTTAGCTGAAAGAAACCTAGAGACCATCAAGCCCAGCCACCTGTTTGCTCATAAGGAAACTGATCCCAGAGAGAACTTATTTGTTAAGGTTGCATCACAGGTAGAAGCCCAGGACTAGAGAACATCACCTCCTGGCTTCCAGCCAGGGCTTCTTCCACCATCCATGCTCCTTTCTGTGTGTGCTGGGCATGCAAATGTTTCTGCACTAATATTTTTGGGGGTTGGTTGGTTTTTCTGATCTGGCCTTGCTGATTTTAATATATTATGATCTCTTATGTTTGTAACCTATGTTGTCTCATTGTAGTTAAGGGTGCAGTGTGGGCTAGGCCAGCCATGCCTTATATCTGAGTAATCATCAGGTTCATGTCCAGGGACACCAGCCAATTAGTGGCAAAGCTAGTTTCTGAACCCAGACCTCTTGACGTAGTGCTCAGAGCTTCGCACCCCTCTTGCACACTTTTTTTTTTTTTTTTTTGCTGAGGAAGATTCACCCTGAGCTAACATCTGTGCCAATCTTCCTCTACTTGGTATGTGGGTCGTCACCACAGCATGGCCGCTGATGAGTAGTATAGGTCCTCACCCAGGAGCCACACCTGGGCCACTGAAGTGGAGCATGCTGAACTTAACCACTAGGTCATGGTGCCAACCACTCCCACACTTTCTTAAGATTCTGTTTTGCTCTGAACGATGTAGTGATGCCTTAGATCATTTGGAATTTGAAAGCTTTTTTTAAAAAATCTGATGTTTTTCTTAGTTTTGCTTGCTGATTTTTATTTTTAGTTTATATAGTAACTGTGTACTCGGCGCATACTTTATACTGGGCATAAAATAGCAAACATTTTATCTATATAATATGTAAATGGTATATGACATATATAATACAATATGTATATAACATCTATGATAAATATATATATTATTCATTTATATATAAATGATTTCATTCAATTTTCAAACCACTCTGGCAAGTAGGTGGTATTCTTGTTGTACTGATGAGAAAACTTAGATTGGATAATTTGAATAAGAGATTTTTGTGACTGACTTTGTGTTAATGGATTGTAGATATAAAAAGCACGTGAACACTGCTGTGTCAAAATAATGGATGGCAGTGAGCTAATGATATTAACTAGGTTTCAGGGTTTGTGATTCCCTTTTTGCTAAGGAGCAAATGCTGAGTGTTAGACTTCCCCTCTATGGGTATGCATGGATGTAGCAGTTAACAGGCCTTGGATAATTTTGCTTATCCAAAATACTTCCAAATTTGTAGATAAATTCCCCCCCTGAAACGCACACACAGGAATTGATTGGTTGACCAGCTGTTTTACAAGACGGAACACAGTGTCGGTTGACTCCAGGCTTCAGGTTGCCTCCAAAACAGCATTTCATCCGTGTTTGTTTGCCAAGGCCTGTAGGTGTCCACATGCAGTGAGAGAAGGATTCAGGAGAAGCTAGGAAGACAGCACAGCATCTCAGGACAGATACTAGTCTTTCTTCTTGTCTTTTGGGTCCCTTTGGCATTTGAATGACAGTCACTGTGTTCTCTAAAGCTTCCTTTAAAGAACCTTAGTATCCATTTTGTCAAATGAAGAGTCAGCCTGTTGGACCCCTGGACATTTGACGTCCATACCAGTGCCCCTGAAGTAGCTTCGTTTGCAGATGGCAGTGGCAGTCATTTAGAAATGGGCAGAAGCAGTCCTTGCTTTGGCTGCCATCTGCTTGTTTTGCACAGAGAAGCTGCCGGCAAGCATCTGAAAGCATCCCAGACTGAGGGAGGGTGTACCTCTCCGGTGGTCCTCCTGATGCAGCTGTTCTTGGAATTGTTGATCCTCCTGCCCCGCTACCTGGCTGATGCCAGGCTCACAACTGGGAAGAGGGCACTGTGGTGCCGGGGAGGAAGAGCCGCGACTCTGCACCTGTAACCGAATCCTGTCTGTCTGCCCTAGGAAGACAGCTGCCTCTTCAACAGAAGGGAAACTTCTAGGACTAGCTGTGCCCTGCGGAGACCAGTGGAGTACATGTACCATGGCCCACATCTCCCATTCATTTGCCAATCTCCTCCTGCTGAGAAAGAAGGTGGGGTGTCAGTCCACCTCTGGGCCTTCCCGAGTGGCCTGCGTTCTGAGTACAGTGCTCCTGATCCTAATTACACGCATAACCCTGTGGATACGGAGCCCAGAGGGGATGTGTACTTTCTTCTGTTAAAACTGCTCTGGTCCTCATCTTTTCTTATCAGATTCTAATCTTTGGTTTCAAGGGGAGGGCTTCAAAATGGGATTCTTAAAGCAAAATTGGGCAGTTTCGTCTTGAAATAGGTCGTCTGTACGTGTTCTAATGTTTTGTAGAACACTTGTCCCTGTTGAAATGTATTGATGTGGATAATGTTAAATGTCTTAATTATTTAAATAATTCATTGTATTGTTTCTGAGAAGTTGGGGAATTACCATATACATTTACAACTTAATGACTTTTGTATTTTATTTTTCAAAATAAAAGCTTTAAATGTGAAACATTCTGGTAGTTTACATGTTTTCATTACTGCGGTTTCAGAGGAGAAGTGAGACCATATCAGGTGGTGATCTGATAAACCAGCTTCTTCAGTGGCTGTGTTGTAGCTGTCCCCCTCTGTGCATCTTACTTCCTTAGTGAAGGTTTTGCTGTAATTTCTTTCAGAGAGGCCTGCTACCATCATCTGTTTTTCTCAGAATCTTGTTCTTCTGTTTCATATACATATACAATATACATACTGTATTTAAGGACAGAGAAGTTACTGTTTCCAGCTGTTTTCTAGAAGCCATTGTTATAGAATATAGAATGACCATATAATAATAGTAATTTCCATTTATTGAGTGTCTTCTATGTGCCAGGCACTGAACAAGATATTTTATATGTTATCTTATCCCTGGTCCAAAACTGTACCTCTTCCAGTCTCATTCATCTCACTTATTACAATGCTTTCTACCCAGTCACTCAAGCCAGAAACCTGAGTCATACTGCATTTCACTCCTTCCCTCCCTTTTCTCACCCACGTACAAGATCTTTGATTCTACCTTCACAATATTTCTTGAATCCCACCCTTCCCTTCAGCTCCACTGTCCCCACCCTAATCTAAGGCATCAGCGTCTGTCACTTAGACTACTGCAATAGCTAGCCTCCTGAACAGTATCCCCATTTCTGCTCTTGCCCCCCTCAAATCTGTTTAGCGCACAGCAGAGTAATAGTTTAAAAACACGCATCTGGACATGACCCTCCCCACTTAAAACTTTTCAGTGGCTCACCACTTTGTTTACAGTAGAGTTCAGACTCCTGCCGTGATCCGGTTACTGCCCTCCTCTCCATCTCGTCGCATGCCCTCCTCCCCCACCTCACCCCTCGTGCTCTAGGGTTCTTTGCATTTCTTGGAACACACCAACCTTTTCCTACTTCTGCACATATTATTCCCCTCCCCTGAATCTTCTTCCCTTTGCTCTTTGCCTGATAGCCTCCTTTTCAATTCTCTGGTCTCAATAAATTTCACTTCCTCGGAGGGACTTTCCCTGACCTCTTGAATGGGAAGTGGTTGCCCCCTACCTGCCTTCTTCACCTTATCACACTTTGCAGTTTTTAATTTGTTTGTTTACTTTTTTTTTATTATCTGTCTCTGTCGTAGATGGAAAGTTCCTTGAAGACATAGACTACCTCTTTTCTTGTCCATTTTTGTACCCCTGACACTCAGCAAAAAGTCTGGCACATTCTAGGAACCCAGCAAAATACTTGGTAAATGATTAATCCTCCTAGAAGCCTCTGACATATCATTTTACAGATGAGGAAACCGAGGCTCAGCCAGGTCATGTCACTTACCCGAGGCACCTCAGCTTAGTGCCACAGTGGTGACCTGGCCACAGTGGTCAGGCCCAAGCCTGACTGAAACATTCTTTCCACTCCACTCCTTCGCCTGTCCCCTTCAATTTACAATGAATAGAGCTGCCAGATCAAGCCTCTGTTCAACACTATGCCGTAGTCACTCCTTTGTTCAAAAACCTTTGATTCTCCAATACCTAACACATTCCATCTAAACTAGTGTGCTCCACAGTCTGGCTCCATTACTCCCTAGTTTATGGTACTCTTCCTTCCTGTCTCCTTACACTCTGTTCACTTTCTGCTGCTTCCAGATGCCTATAAACCCAATGCCTCTCCCCTCTGCCTGGGAAATCCAGCCTCATTAAGGGCTCAGCTCTCTTAAGTGCCATTTCTTGTTACTCAACTCCTTCAACGTCCAAATAGCAATAAAATCAGCTTCAGCATATCGTTATATATGTATATTATAGGGGAAGAAGGAGAATTCTGCCCCTCCCCCCACTTCCCTCTGGTTCTTATGGCTAATCAAAAAATTAGAATGACATAAGGCAAGTTAGCTGGACAAAATAAAACAAAGTTTAATATGTATACTTGGGAGAAATCCAGGAAACTGAGCAACTTTCCAGAATCGCCGAAGTTGCCATGTCAAATACATCTTCAGCTAAAGACAAAGGAGGATGTTGACAGTAGTGGTTTGGAACTTCAAACAGGAGGAAGGCAATTTACATAGAGAGGGAAATGCAGATGTTTATTAGACAGCTGTTTGCTGGGCCACCTATAGAGAATGTGGGCTGAGAGACAGAACTTTGATGAAAGTGGGCTTGTGGGTGCCTTTTCTGTTGCCCCTGTTTTACACTGTACTATGGTTGTCTCACGGTATTAGCTCCTTCCCGGAACAGACCTTCTATCTTAAGTTCTTTCAGGCATGTTGGGGGAAGGTCAAATGTTATTCTTGAGTCTTCTGAGCCTTTATTGTCTTCAGTTCAAAATAATCTGCGTACCAGAGTGCCACATCTTGGAGCAGCCAGCCATGAACCCCATCTGTAGACGTATATGTTTGTTTTTTCTTGCTTGTATCCTGTGTTAGTCTTATGTCACTAACTTTGTTGGGAGGAGGTCATGCACCCCTCTAGAGCTGATCAGAATGGGAGGGGAGGACATCTTTATAACTCAGCCTGATTCCAATATTTGCCCCTAAAGGAACATATGGTTTTCATTCCCCACACCTGCCCACCCCTGGAGAATCCACTTTTCTGGATGGGAGTGTATTGGCATAGGAAAAGGGCAGAGAACCGCTGCACAAAATGACAAAGAGGAACCACGGCACAGCTGGCCTGAAGAAGCAGGGGCTGTGGTATCTCCATCCCTTCTGACGTCCCTTCTTGCACAAAGCCTTGTATCTTTCTAGTCTGAGCACATTGTGTTTGAGGCCTGTGAAGGAAAACATTTCTGTTCCATATGACATCTTAGATCACCTTTATGAAGATGACTATATTTGTGAAATGTCCTGATTTGATGGAATCAAATGGAACTCCTTTTGAACAAATGGAAGATGGCTGGAGTTGAATTGAAAAGAGGTAACTGGGTAAGGGACCAGGGTAGATATGTGGCCTATGGCTATCAGAGAGCTTCCTAGAGCCAGCATAGCCATGGCCACAGCCAGCAGGTGAACCTGGGAAGCCAGGGAGAGGCTGCTGTCCTCAGTGGCTACAGGAGAAGCTTGGAGAGAGCATCACCCATGAAGAATCATAGAATTTTAAAGTGAGGAATAAATCTTAGTAATCACTTAGTTAAGCAATTACTTTAATAACACCTATCAAGAACTTCTCATGGTCCAGGCCCTGTGCTGACCTCTTTACATGTTTAAATTCATTTAATTCTCATAATCAACCTCTGGGATGCATACTGTTACTACCCACATTTTACAAGATGATGAAACATTGGCTCAAGGGGGTAAAGTACCCAATACAGCTAGTGAATGAGCAAATCGGGATACAAATACAGCAACCTGGCTCCAGAGCCTCCGCCCTTAACCACTCTCTACCTCTCAATAATCATCATTATACTAGAATAGAAACTGGTCATTAGCATTGAGTGACAGCTATTTAAGTACCTCCCTTGTGCTTAGTAATTGAGTGTGCCAAGAAGTATAGGCAGATCACTGCCCTTGGAAAATGATGGTCTTGGTTAAAATTTTTTAAAAAGCGCATAAAATAATTATTTCAATCTCTAGCTGACAAAACTTATAGTACTACCTACCAAAACCTGGTAGCTAGGTGATAGATAAGTAATGGTCTAGGCAAGTTTCCATGCAGTGTTGGCCCAAAATCTGTATTTCTAGGGAGCTAAAACTCCTAGGGCCCTCTGGGCTTTTTTCTCTAGCAAGGTCAGTATTTTCAGGCTTGAGTTCCCTTTTCTGCTTGCTTGTTACTATCCTACAGTCTTCTGCAGAGACTTTTCATGTCTTTGCATAAAGCAGAGCGCTCCCTTAGTTACTCTGAACTGGGCAAAAGAGGCAATTTTTATTCATTTTGGGTTTAAGTGCTAACAAGGTAGTTCATTATTTAGGTATTGAGTGTGTGTGTAATCTTGTTAGACATAAATGACTTTGATCCTCCCTTTGGAGTTTGTTGATTATTACTGAAGATCCAAAATTGAATAATTTTCACAATAAAACCATTATTTTTGTTGTTATATACTGTAGAAACGGCTTTATGCATGGCCTTGCCCTGAGGAGGAAGACCCAACATGCCCTCTATTGGCCAAACATGGAATGACTGCTGAACCTATGAAAAAGTTTTAACGTTGAAAGAAGGAAATAATCAGGAATGTGTGCAAAGCTTTCTCTACAGAGATGCCCATTGCAATGTAATTTATACAAACAAGAAATTGGAAACAACCTAACTAAAGAGGATATTAGTTAAATGAATTATGGTACAGCCACATAACAATACTATTTGGCTAATATTGTAGAAAAATATTTAATAACATGGAAAAATGTTCACGTTATATTAAGTGAAAAATCTGAGATCATGAAGCTGTTTAGTATGATCCCACTTTTATTATTTGAAGGATCGCCAGGAAAGTAAATAGAATAGCTAAATTGATAGACAGCTGAAAGGATGTGTGCCAGAATGTCCCCAGTGGTGTCTCTGTGTGGCGGAGTTGTGAGGATCCTTGTTTTCTTCTTTCTGCTTAACTCTATTTCTAAATGTGCTACGGTCAACATGAATTACTTTTGTAAAAAACATTATAGAGTTTTTTTAAAGAAAGAAATCGTGAGATTGAACCCCAAAACTGGGGTCTAGAGTTGCGCTGTCACTTCCCCAAGACTACACGTCTCGTTAGACCTCAAGTGGACCTGCAGTTCATTGATTTTCTGATGTCTTATTATTTAGCCAACTCTTTTGAGCAAAACTAGTGATATTAATAATCTTCAAGACTTGACTATTGATTGTTCTTCACAAATGGACAACTGAGACTTGAATCAGAAATGAAAGCAAGGTATCAGCTAGTAGGAGTTTCAGATGAAGCACATTTGAACAGATTGCGGTGGGTTAGCATTGACTCATTTCTCTTATGCAGGGGGTGGCAAGCTACAGCCAGTGAGCCCAATCTGACCACACTATCAGTTACGTCTTGTCTATGACTGCTTTCCTTTAACAGCAGCAGAGT